AACATGATCAAATTTACGATGGAAAGGCATTATATTAATGTCATGCAACAAAATAAATTGCACGGCCAGAAAAAAAAATCGAATTTCTTATTCATTATTAAAAATCACAATTAAAAATCATTATTTCAAATCATCGTCAGTATCAAAAACATTTACAACAATCGTAATTTCCCCCTTACCCCCCCCCCCCTTCTCTGGTTTCTCGTCCCATTCCCCTTCCCATAAACATTTTGCGAACTTTTTTTTCCTTCAAGATTCTCCAGTTCGTGTGTTCATGTTTACGGTCGTAGAATTGAATCAGCAGTTTACATTCTTCGACAATGCTTTGAAAGGCTTTCCACATCTCTCTGCAAAACGGGTCTTGGAGGAAAAGCTTCCTGTATAACCTGCCGAAGGGGTGGCTTCACATTCAACTTTTGGGGAAGGGATTTTGTATTTGCGTAAGAGAAGCGGCCTCCTAAGGAAAGAGGAGTGGATTTTTTTGTGTGTGTATTTATTTATTCGTTATTCCATTATTTATCTGATTTATTTATTATAAATATATATACACGCACGCAAAAAAATGTGCGTGCGTGTGTACGCGTGTGTGTAAAGTATATATATATATATATATATATATATATATATATATATATATATATATATATATATATACATATATATATATATATATATATATATATATATATATATATATATATGTATATATATATATGTGTATATATATATATATATATATATATATATATATATATATATATATATATATATATATATACGTATATATATGCGTGTGTGTGTGTGTGAATATATATGTATAAATATATATATATATATATATATATATATATATATATATATATATATATATATATATGTATATATATATATATTTTATATAGTCACACACATACACAGACACACACACACACACACACACACATACATATATATATATATATATATATATATATATATATATATATATATATATATATATATATATATATGTATATATATATGTATATATAAATATATATATGTATATATATATGTAATTTATTTATTTTTAATAATTATCACTTTTATTATCAGTTTTGTGTGTGTGTGTGTGTGTGTGTATGTATACGTGTATGTGTGTGTGTGTGCTTGAAATGAATATCACCTAATTTCTATTGGGGATTACAGGAGCAAGAGTAAGTCTTGTTTGCAAAGGGAAAAGCTTTTAACTGAATAGTGTAAATTTCACTGTTATTTTCACTCCTTCTCTCTCAGCATCAGCAACATTTTATGCACATACTTCAGCACCAGCTCCAGTTTTAGCCTCAACGCCAACTTTAATTCCAACTTAAGTAGCTGTCAACAGTGCTAGAGACAGCAAAGAATGCACAGCCAACACCAGCCTCTGCAGGAAAGTCAGGACCATTTTCTGATGTTGCAGAAATCGAGGAGAGGATGTACGCAACACAGCAACAGATTGTACAGTTACAATAGTTTAAAATATATATATATAACTACTTTGTGAAACAACACTAGTTATTTTTTATATGATTGATATGTTAAGCCCTTTTTCCCTGACAAAATCAGGTGCCATACGATATTTTCCCTCGCTTTCTGCTTTACCACTAGACAATGTGCATTTGCGATAAGACCATGCATCAACTTGATCAGCTTGATAGTTAAAGCCTCATCCACTCTCGAATCTAACCACGAGATCCCTCGCGGAGAGCCACTAGGCAGGCAATCGGTCCATCACTAGCAACTTCTAACAGGTCTGGTCGACCTGCCCAAGCCACGACTTCCTAGGTCGTCTTACGGGCCTCCTCCACCTTGGTCTGTCAAGTGAAGAGACAACCTGACAAGTATGTCTGTACGCAGGGAAACGAGCTAGTATGTATTTCGGGGACTTTGACCCACTCTTTTTTTCGCAGATCTCTCCCAAACGAATAGTCAGATCAGTATGGCACTTTAGCGCGGTATGTTTCGCGAACTTCCCTAATTTTTGGCACTATAGTGCATTACCAGATGCACTTAATTACGGCGTTTACCTTTGACTCTGATAGTATAGTATCCATCAGCCGTGTATATATATATATATATATATATATATATATATATATATATATATATATATATATATATATGTATATATATATATATATATATATATATATATATATATATATTATATATATATATATATATATATATATTATATATATATATATATATATATATATATATATATATATATATGTATATATATATATATATATATATATATATATATATATATATATATGTACATATATATATATATATATATATATATATATATATATATATATATATATATGTACATATATATATATATATATATATATATATATATATATATACATATATATATATATATATATATATATATATATATATATATATATATGTATATATACATATATATATAATATATTTATAATGTATATACTTACATACATATATATAATACATATGATATATATAATATATATGAATGTAAATTCCAACTCATCACGAAGGGTTACATAAGCATCCTTAAACTCCAGCTTTACTGCCCACGTCATATAATGTGCGAGAAAGTATGTGGATGAAATGGCGAGAATGTCATTAAGCAACCTTCGTTTCGGTGGACATAGTCTGGCAGTGGGTGAGGCGAGGTCGAGGCCCGTGTGACCCATTTTGAGACCCTTACCTATTTTTTTTTTTCTTTGACGTTGGCGACCATGTTTTTTACTTTCATGGTTGTACAAGGGAGTGTACGATGGTGGTTTCCCGTTGCCTTCCTTCGGATGATTGAAGAATTCACCATCTCTCTTACCAGTGGATCCTCTGCTTGCATTACCCATACTTACCAGCAATTCATGGAAGATACTACTGATGTGGCAAAATTTACAGACTATTAATTTTACGTTTTATACAAACTTCTTGTGTTTGTTTTTTTTGTTTTGTTTGTTTTTTCTTTTGCACTGTTTTAGTGTATTTATTGCCATTTATGCTTGTATGTTTGTGCATGTACACATTTGTTATCATTCGTCATTGTTACTGTTATTGATGAAAGTGTTTACTGACATGTTTTAATGAACTGTTATGTCAATATTTGTGTGGCATTTATATGGAATACAATTTTTTATTCGATTTTATATCCTTTACAGACTTTTTTGATATTCTTACTTATATGTATATTTATGTATACCTGTTGTAGAAAATAAATAAATAAACTAAAACTAGTATTTTACATTGCGGGTTTTTCTACCATAGTATAAACACGGTAGAGTGTTTTCATCATTCATGTATACCTGTGTATTTATGGTAAATAAAAATTATGTCTATCTGTCTGTGTGTGTGTACGTGTGCGCGTTTGTACAAGAGTGTGTGTGTGTTTCAATGATTCAACAGGATATAAAGCTTTCAAATCAGTCATTATTTGACGAATTATACGCTAATCATTTCCGTGTAACATATTTTATTTGATTAATTGTTTGCGTAATTCACGGCAATAAATAATAACCCGAATATCGTCATTTGTTAAGGAACTCCCTCATGAAAATAAAATAGTCACTTCTGGTGTATGATAACTTATCTAAATTTGCGCCTGATTCACTAATTGATTCATGGTTACATTGAGTCAATTTTTTTATCATATAAGGCTACACTGATAATTAAGGTTAGGTATCTTTAATATAAACGTGATATCATTACCTGGAACATATGCTGTTTTGTGTTTTTACTCTCCGTGTGATGTACATAAAAACATTATAATTAAAGTCTAAATGAATAATATGTCACAGACAGACACACACACACACACACAAAACATACAAACAAAAGCACATTTTCATTTCACATTGCTTGCATGTTGGTGTGTTTGTGCATGTTTGAATACGTACATGACGTACACACGAGTCTCATGACAACTGTAAAGTCATGGATAAAGTTATTCAGTTTCCATTTCATTTGCGTTGCTCCATTTGCGATAAGACTCATTAAGATAATGAAAACCGAGCTTATGCTCATGATGCTAATTGTTTTGGTCAAACTCGCCTAATGATATATTTAATAATCGCCCAACTTTTTTTTTTTTGCATGTGTGTGTGTTTTGAGAGAAAAAAATACCATTATCAACATGAACAGCTTAGAATAAATAAACGCATTATTGTTAAAAATCACACTGAACGCAGATTACCAACATACGTAATATTAATGATGATTAAAGTGATAATGATAATGATAATAACAAGGATAATGATGATGATAATAATTGTAATAATATACACTTACCAAGGAAGCATAGACGCATACCATAACGTATTAATTCAACGATCCTAACCAGCTTTATCAATCGTATATCTGTCAACAGGAAAAGTTTTACACGGTAGGTTTTGCGGTCGGAAAAAAACGCATATATACCTTATACTAAATTAGATTAGCCGTTCACAAACAAGTGTGATTGGGGGGGGGTCAGGATTAGCGTAAAAGTGGGGGGGGGGGGGGCGGTGAATGTTGTTTGTTTGTTTGTGGTCAAGGCGGTCGAAAAAGCTTATTTATTTTATTTATTTATTCAGTAACTTATTTATCCCAATGTAAAATGACTTTTGTTTACTTTATCTGGTTAAATGTCTATTTTAGATCAACCCCTTTCCAGAAAACACACACACACACACACACACAAACACACATATCAGAGAATGATTTTACAATATGACAGATTGCTGCATCACAGACATCAGATAAATAATGTTTTTCTTTTCAATCATGACACCATTCGTT